GGTTACAACACCACTCCGCCTCCCATGAAATGACAAAATCAACGCGAATGTGATAAGCAATTTCATTATGTAAACACACGCTGCTTTTATAATCTTATACACTTATCATATACAACAATCTACACCTGGTTTTGTTATCTTTACAAATTGGCCAACTTGACAACAACGCGAAAATGATCCCATGCTGATTAATGATGATTAAGTTGTTATATGATATAAGCTGAGTGGATTTTGTAAATTCTGGTTTATTAATACTACTTTGATAAATCTATTAGCAGCAGCATTAAATAGCGAAACGTCAGCCATATTACTTTTCTTATTTGTGTACTGCCTTCTGTACAAAAATCGAAGGTAAACTTCATCCATAAAAAAATGAACACACGTATGTAAATAGAACAACCGGTACAGGTTGGATAGTAAGTAATCTGTTTTACCATATAATTCTAGATGTGTGTGTGTGTTGTAGTGCATGTGTATTTATTATTTTTTTTTGATGACTGCAATCTTAATCAGACTTAATGTACTGAACAGAAGGATACTGTTGTTATTATTACCGTAGAATTAATCTGTTCAATTTGTTTTCATAACAATTTCTAAATGTAAATTAGAGCTCAGATAAACATAGTTTATTTTAACAGGCAGTTTTGTTAATTAATTTTGATGCACATCGGTGGTTATATTGCTGGTAGAAAGTTTCTTATAATAATAATTAGCCGATATTTCATCAGATTTGCTGTAGAGGTGGATTAAAATGCGGCGGCGAAACTGAGTAGTTCTTAACTGATTTTTCAATTGTCCAAATTAAAGAACAGCTATCAGAGGGAGTGAACTCACCAATGACGTTTTAATGCAGAATCAGATTAAGGTAGTGGAAATAAGTAGAACAAAACCAACATATTAGTAAATAAATGCTGGGAGAGGGCAAGAACACTAAACAGGATACCTTGCTTGATTGTGGATACTCATCTCTCTTTCTCATTGTTTCGTGGGGAACTGGCAGACTTATGCTAATGGTCATTTGAAAGCCATCAGTGCGTCCGTATCCTCTCCCCACTAGGTTCGCTATTCTTTAACTTCTCCCACCAATGACCTCCTTTCGTGATGTAAACTGAAAACTCTTCGAAGATATTGTGTTTCAACCACAATGCATAATAGTGCAGCTGTTAAACTCATGAGTAGTTGGCGTATTGATCCATCAGTCTTTACTTTACTGGTCTCCTAAGGCCAAGTAGTTTTAGTAATTTGTGCTTTTCTAAGTGAATTTACCAAATCGTCCAGCCAATGTGCACATATATCCACTTTTTATAACCCTTTAGGTCTCGAGTGAAACGTAGGGCTTCAAGCTGGGGTTATGAAGTTTCGGTAGCAGTGGTTTTGCTTTTACGGCGTGGAGTTGCAAGCTTCATATCCAGCCTTCCCTTTTTACCGACCTTACTACCCGCTTAGTGAGGCTTAGGGGTGCTTCAGTCAGGGATCGAACCCTGGACCACTTGAGGCGTGGTTGGCGAGCGTTCTACTTCCAAACCACTGACGTACACATATATGCACTAGTGAGATAATGGATTTATGCTCAGATTTTAGTGATAAAAGAGATTATTAAAGGAGATTAACAGTAGTGGTATCAAAATGTCTGTATTGTTCAGTGGAATATTCATACTGAATTCTAATTCAAAAATACATGTGTACTATGACAATTCTTTTTGATTCCCCAAGGTGAAGGCTCTGATAATATACAGAATCTTTTGAATACCTTGAGCAGTAATCTTTGGAAGTTTGTCATGCGACTTGCTCCTGTCATATGTAAGATGATGCTATACGACTGGAGTGCATCGATGCTTACTTCAGAGATAGTGACTGAATGGATAGAGGGTGTTGACCAATTCACCTCTTTGGGAAGTTGCGTTAACCCAAATGGACTGATTGTTTACGACATCTCAAAGCAGATACAAAAGGCTCATGTGCTATTTGACAACTTACTTCATCTCTGAAGTAGACGTGATATCCGGTTGGCTATCGATCATGGGATATGTGTACTGTTCAGCAGTTCACTCTCCCCTCCTTTTTGGCTGTGAGACACAGACACTGACATTAGGAGACATGGAAAGGCTAGCTGTCTTTGATCATAGGTTTCTGCGCTCTATCTCCCGTGTTAGGTGGTATTATATGATGATTAATACTGAGGTTAGGCATTGAGTGCTAGGTGACGAGGGTAAGTCAGTTGATGAGTTCGTGAAGCTACATCGATTGGAATGACTAGGACATGTATCGATGAGCAATATTAGCTGACGCAGAATCAAGTTGTACAGAGATAGTTGTAGTCAAACGGAAACATGGGATCAGTCAGTGATGTCCATAACAGTTAGTTTAAGCCCCGTAGGGAGGTGTAGACTTCCTGGTTGGGGTCCTCGGAATGGTAAAAACCAAGGACTGGAGACAGTTGGTGATATGACTGAAAATAGTTCTCAGTGGCGGAGATGCATTCACTCTTTGTGATATCCAATATCCATGAAACTCTGTTGTTTTCCCATGTTACTACTCATTCTCTTGCACATTTCTGTTTCTTATTATTTGTTTGAGTCTGTTTTTTCTCTCTTTTGTCTTCCTTTGTGTGCTACATGGAGTGTTGCAATTCAAACTTCTTTACTTCTGTGCAAAGTTCTATGTTGAAATGAGTCAGACAGCTAATCATACTGTTTGATGCCAAATATATAACAGATCATATTTTGATAAGTTGCACCTTTATAGGTAGTCATCTATAAAGAAATAAATTTAGAACGCAATTTATGTAGGTTTCTTTAGCTATAAAATGTTTCTCAACTGAGATGAACCAATGAGAAACCTGGAGCACTGGACAGTTGTTTCTCTAGGTATAGAGTCCTGAAACACCAGGTAACTCGTACCTTTAATGTTTCCCGCCCTTTCTCGACAGAAAGCAGATTGAAACCCATTGCCTCATGGTTTCCCACTTCTACTAAGTCATATTTTATTTGAAATAACAGACAATTTTTCTGTGTTCTACCAGTCTATCGGAAGGTAACTACTGGTATGCACCTTATTTATAACTACCCCCACTTGTCAGTATCCTGTGAAGCAAACCAACTAGTATTTGCAGGTCATTTAATTACACACCACTCTTTTCTTCTATCCTTATTTCATAACACTAATAGTAAATAAAGTGTTAGACAAAGGGATATAACTGTTATATCATGTGTTTAAAACGTGTTGCAGATATAATGGAAGATTTGCAGCTCAGGTGGATGTTTTTGGTATAATTATGTCCTCTGGGCTGGATAGTTCAGTTGTAAAGCTCTCATTTGTCTAACTAGTCAGCATTTTCAGCGCATACTTCCCTTTGAATTAGGTTTTTGAAATTCTTGAAGAATTTATTACTCACCTCTCCCTGTATTCTTCAGTGTGATTGTTTGTTTTCATGTATTTTCTCACCCTTTAGTCCACTAGACCTAAAAATTGACCTATTGTTCGCCTGATTTCCTTTTTATGGATTAGGAAACCTTGTATACGTCAGTGTGTCTGTTGATTGCCAATTGACTTTGAAACCCAGGCTTGTAAAAATTCTCTGGAGCTTTTGATGTTTCCCCTGTCGAAGATTTGAGCATTCTCTCAATCGCATTGGTGCCCGTGGTTGTCTGCATGAAATGACTAGAGCGAGTGGATATCGTGTCTTTTGATGGCCAGTTTACATTCATGGATGTGAAGATGAAAAGGGTGTCGACTTTGACCAATGTAGTGTTTTTCACAGTCGTTTTAATTTACCACGTAGATGATGTTGGTTTTGTCTTCCTTCGTTGTTGTATCTTTTGATTCACATAGAACCAAGTGAAGTGATTTTGTTAGCTTGTGGACAACATCAATTCTAAAAGGTTGCAATAGTTTTGAAGTGATGTAAGAGGGCATTTTTCTTTGTGTTTTCATTGTCAACACTGAACATTATATCTCAGCAAACACCTCCTTCAAATCAATCTATCTACAAAGTGACGAATAACCTGCCAAAGACAGTACTCTTTTGGTATCCTTTGCACAGCTGATCCCTTAGTCATTCAGTTAGAAAAAGCGGAGCTGTGCAAACAAAAGAAGATTATTCAATCACTTCTACTGTCATAGTAACAACTTTGTTGATTTCTGCTGGCTTGAATTTTGTTTGTTTATATTCGTAAGTCTTTGTGATTCTTGTAACTCTTTAGAACTCTTACTTAATCCCATATTTCCCTCGGTTTCAATGCCCATCCTGATTAAAACAAATTCATTAAATTATTCGTCTTATTACGTAACTCCAATACACTTATTCAACTCTTCTTATACACTGACAAACATTAGCAGCTATATTTGTGACAAATCATCCCTTCTGTTATTACCATCTTTCATGAAGAAGAGAGTGTATGTAAATGCGATTGTACAGCCTTGAGGAAAATGGAAAAAATGTCTTATGGCCATCTTACAAAAAATGTTCAAGGATTGGTTTGTGGGGACTTTTGTTTGATTGGTAGGAGTGCTTCATCATGAGCTGACATCAGTTAGAGAACCATTGAAAATCCTGTAGGGAGTACTGGACAGCTGTTTCCTACAAACTAGTTTGGGACTCTTCAGCAACACTCACTCACCGGGCTTTGAACCTAGAACTTTCCGGTTACAAGATGAGAATCATAGACCATTAAGCCACTGGGACCCCATCCAATGGCCAGCCAGTGCATGAATTCCAACTTCTGACAATTCATGACTGATGTCAGCTCATAATGAAATCCTCCAACCAATCTTACAAAAAATGGATATCCAGGAGAGAAAACTAATAAAATCATGGAGAATTTTAAAAGCTCACTTTGAATTAGAGTATGCGCTGAGTGGATTGTCTAGTAAGACAGTGAAAACTTCGCAAATGAGGGCATCCAGCTGGGAGAACACAACTACACCAAAACCACGGTGTTTTCGAAATTCAATAATTAAATCACTTTTGTGTTTAATGTATTTTTTTCTGACACTTCCAGCCTAACAAACATAATCAAGTCAACACTGAATGATCTACGCAAAGCAATTAAAGGTCTTGCTATCATGTCAGAAAGCTTGGAATCATTAGCTGCAGCTTTGTCTATCGGAAAGTTACCTGCCTTATGGGCTCGTCGATCGTATCCAAGTTTGAAACCTCTTGGTTCTTATGTAAATGATCTAATAGAAAGACTGAAATTCTTTCAGGTAAGAAGTTTATTTATTCGATTGTGGTAGTTAATTATGCATGCGGTAGATAATCGGTAATTTTATTCCATATTAGATTGTTTATTAGATATATCACACAGTGAAACAGTATTATTTACTGGATCAAAATGTTTCAAATACAGTTTATTATTATATATGTCCAAAGCAAGTTCACTTTTACCAGTTTGAAAAAAATTTGGGCATTAGGTATATGATATTCATTATAATAAAGGTATTTTTTATATTTCCCAAAGAATGAAAAACAAAACAATTTACTATTGTTCACAATGATATCAATTATAATCACACGACTTCAAAACTTCCGTTTTATAGTTTTCTTTGTTCTCTCCTAATTGTCATCGTAGGAGTAGTAGAATTTTCCAGATATCTGGGCGAACAGGTGTTGAATCATTTCTGCTGCACGTATTTTTAGTTGATTCAACAAATAAAGCTTCCGTTATCAATCTCTGCCTAACCCTAAACCTAGGAACCTCGGAAACCTTAAGGAGAATTCTTCACATTGCAGGAATAAAAGTGACCAGCATTCAAACCACCCACAAACTCAATTCGAAACTAGCTATGTCGGTTAAAGGATCCGGTGGAGTCAATTAAACAAAACAGTGTAGTTTATATAATACCCTCCCTGCAATGATTGTCAGGTCAAATATACAGGGCTAAGTAGTAGCACGGGGTCAGTCAGACTAGTGGAGCACAAAAACCCAGCAAAATCTAGATTAGTTGACCCGAATAAGATAAGAAATCTGGAGAGTAGTCCAGCTATAGCACTCAGTATAAGCAATCACACACAACCATACAATATGATGGGATGGGATAAGATGACAGTCTTAAATTCTAATGTAACCGCAGGGTGGAGGAAGAGATTGATTACAACGGAAGCTTTGTTTATCAAATCAACTGCGAACACGTGTAATAGGAATGATTCAACACCTGTCCACCCAGATATCTGGAAAATTTCACTACCCGTACGACAAATAGGAAAGAAAAAAGAAAACTATAAAACTCAAGTTTCAAAGTTGTGTGATTATAATTGATATGATTATGAAAAACAATAAATTGTGTTCGAAACGTCATCCAGTAAATAATACTGTTTCACTGTGTGATATACTTAATAAACAAACTAATATGGAATCACATACTGCGACATTTCCCAAGGTTTACGCATAAACTAATCGTTAATTTAGTTCTTTTTTCCTTCTTTTGGTTGCCTCTGGAATGATCTGATTATTTTCATAGTTCTTTTTAACAAAACACTCGTGTTTTTTATTATAGAATTAGAGAAAATCATCAGAGTTGTTTGTCATTTCTCTGCTGTTAGAAATCAGGTTGATAATCTCTTGAAGGAGAAGAATTATATTAGCGATTAGATTTTATGATAAGAGTTATAATAGTTGGAATATCTCAAAGTTTACTTGTCAGGTTTATTACGACCAAAACCGATTTGCATTCTGATCTCTACGTCCCACTGCATAGCTAACCAAAGCTTCCTTCAGCTAATCACAATCACAAAACGCCCCGGAGACAGCAAAGTAACGATGATATGCCGTAAAACCTGCGGTTCTTTTCAGCAATAAGGACATAAACTCTAAACTGCCTCAACAGTGCCGTCAGGCAGCTTTGCTAATCAGACAAGTTTCTAGTATAAAAGAGATACTAAGGATCAAGTAGAATATTCATAACAAGGTAGGACAGAAAATTCCATATTAGTTTGTTTATTACATGTATGACACAGTGAAACACTATTATTTACTGGATGACATGATTTTGAACACAATTTATTATAGTTCATAATCAAATAAATTATAATCACATGACTTTGAAATTTGAGTTTTATAGTTTTCTTTTTTCTTTCCTATTTGTCGTACGGGTAGTGGAATTTTCCAGATATCTGGGTGGACAGGTGTTGAATCATTCCTATTACACGTGTTCGCAGTTGATTCGATAAACAAAGCTTCCGTTATCAATCAATCTCTCCCTCCACCCTGTGACATTAGATTTTAAAACTGTCATCCTATCCCATCCTATTGTATGGTTGTGTGTAATTGCATGTAATGACTGGTATACCTGAACTATTCTTTAGATTTTTTATCTTATTCGGGTCAACTAATCTAGATTTTGCTGCTAGGTTTTAGTGCTCCGCTAGTCTGACTGACTGCACTTGTTCTACTACTTAGCCCTGTATATTTGACCTGACAATCATTGCAGGGAGGGTATTATATAAACTACACTGTTTTGTTTAATTGACTCCACCGGATCCTTTAACCGACATAGCTAGTTTCGAATTGAGTTTGTGGGTGGTTTGAATGCCGGTCACTTTTATTCGTGCCTTTGTTAAGAATTCCGAGGTTCCGTCTTACTACTACTGATGATTTGGATTCCTTATTGTTGGTGTTGTGATAATAATAGTAATATTAATGACGACATGCATATCAAACATGCGCAAGACAACACCAATAATAAGAAATTTAAATCATCAGTAGTAATTCCATACAAAGAAGGAACCTCGGAAATTCTACTACTCCAACGGTGACAAATAGGCGAGAACAAAGAAAACTATAGAACTCAAGTTTCTAAGTTGTATGATTATAATTGATACGATTATGAACGATATTAAATTGTGTCCGAAACTTTGTCATCCAGTAAATAATACCGTTTCACTGTGATACATCTAATAAACAAACTAATATGGAATTACTTACTACCACAATGCCCAATTTTACACATATATTAGTAGGATCAAAACCCCTTTCTACAAGAATCATACATGATTAATTCCTGCAGGCAATCCAGTGACTCCAACAAAATCACATAGGGAGAAAACGCATTATTAATGTATCACACAACCAAAAAGAGACGCGTTAAAATTAGAGATTAGGCAGGAATAAAGACAAATGATAAGGATTACGTCAACAGATGATTACAAAGTAGTTAAAATATCCAAATAAACATCAATATTGTGATTAGATCGTTCAGGAGGGATTTTCAAAGCAACTGTTGCTTTACAAGATTTATCCAGTTACGAGTGGACAGCTGTATTGAAGGAAATGTGACGACCGACTCAGAAATCGAGACTGAATACAATGCAGACACTTTGTAGTGAATAGCAGTTTTATTACATAAACTATCAGCATCAAAGTCATTTATTTTTCAAAAGAATGGATACTGAACAAAGAATACTCTTTTCGATAAATTCATCATCAGGCTCTACAGTTATGTATACACATTATAGTGAATGAATGAATTAGTGTTATGAACAACATTAATGTTGTTTAAATAAAATCGAATCAATAATACTGATAGATTACAGCTAAATAGCATCAACATAAAATAAGCTGAATGTCAGAAAACTTAGGAAAGATACTATTACAAATTCATGAATTCATAGTCTCTATTGAAGGCCAGGGCAGTAGTAGGGGCTGGACTTGCTTTTTTAGCACACAAAGCACTGGTTGTTTGTGGCGAATTGCCATAGCCTCTGCTGTTTGGAGCATGCGGTGCTTCGATGTTTTTGGCAATTTATTAGGCATCCGGTAGATGATAGAGAAGGATTCTTCAATGCTGGCTGGCTTTGTGACCGGTTTAGACCAGATGGTCCAATATCGAACTGTTAATGGTTTTCACTACACCTTTACTTAGCCATAGTGGGAGATGTTCCTAGAGCAGCGGTAAATATAACTCGCTCCACCGCAAGCGCAGTTGAGTTGGTAGATACAGCTGGAAGTGGCTAGTCTAGGTATTTCATCTTCCAGTCGAGGTAGCAACATCGGTCATATAGAGAATAAGACGTGTAGTCCGCTAGCACTAAAAGTCCTTTGAACTAATTTTCTTAATTTCTTCATAATCATTTCGCTTGGTATATCGCCCTTGAATTGTAGTCGTATATAAAGAGGCGACAATATCTCTGCATAGTAATTCCTGAGAATACCAGAGCTCTTCAATATAAAGAAAAGATCTGCTTTCATAATTTATTTTAATTTGTTTCCAGAATGATGGATAGTAGAAATCTGAAGCAGCTTCAAAAGTTACACTTCATTATCATAATTTAGTCGCATCTATAAACCATCTATCCACACTTCTTAATAAAGGCTAAATATAAATCAACTGTCCACTAAAACATTTCTCTTTTACATTGATTTAGCCCAAATTATATCAGGTTGTTTCTTTATCTAAGATGACAAATTTGTTTGCTTTTTCATCATATGTCGCAAAAACATGAAAGATAGTTTTATTGTGGAGACAGAAGACAGACGATAGGAAAACAGAAATAAAAGCCACAGACAAGAAAAAACTTCTCGGTCCAGATGTAAGGAAAAATTTAAAAAAAAGCAACAAGCAAAAAAACAGTCGGTAGATTTTAATTTTAGCTTCAGTTATCGATTAAACGAGTTTCAAGTGTTGTTTTCCAGGGATCGTCATGAACTGATATAGGTAAGAGAAGCATTGGAAAACCTGGGAGTACTGCAAGCTGTTTCGTCCTAGTTTGCGACTCTTCCTTAGTATGGATTTACTGACGTGCGAACCTGGTTTCCTGAAACGAATCAACCAATCATTGCAAACCAACACTTGAACATCAATCTGTTGCTCGCTAGTGACTGGCCCTATTCAGGTAGGTAGTTATCTGCGGTCGTGGTAGGAAGTCATGACCAGCTGGGTATAGCGGGTTGAAGGTGAGGACAAATACTGGCCGATGACATTGACTAGTGGTAGTGCTATATCGTGAATTGGCAGAGGTTAGAATTCACGCACCATTGGATCGGGTCCCAGTGACTTAATGGTCTATAAGCTAGCTCACCTTGTAACCAGAAGGTCCTGGGTTTGAACCCCGTTTGTGGGTGCTTACTACTGAAGAGTCCCAAACTAGGGCGGACGAAACAGCTATGCAATACTCCCAGGTTTTCCAGTGGTTCTCTAACCAATGTCAATTCATGGCAAAATCCTAAACAGGTTTCTCTCTTTTGAAAAATTTTATTATTTCGTCCGAATTTTCTGACTTAAAATCGCTTATTTTGCCTTTTCTTAATTTTTCCCCTTTTGTACAGAATTGGTTTGTTGATGATAAACCAGCAACTTATTGGGTATCTGGATTCTTTTTCACACAAGCTTTCTTAACTGGCGTTCTACAGAATTATGCACGACGTACAAGAATACCAATTGATCTATTGGCATTTGATTTTGAAGTAAGTTAACATAAACTGTGAATATCATATCAAAAAGGGGTTTTAATCTTTATATACAGTCTGCTGTAGTATGAAGTGAGTATTTAGGTAAATTTATGCATTTTCTTGCAAGCTTTGAGCATCTACAAACAGTACTGATTGTCTTTCAGATCTAAAAAATCATTCTACAATGGTCATATTGATTAAAATTTTTAAGTAGATGCATGGAAGTATTTACGGTGGAATTATTAAACTGTTACTTTCAGAGTCTTGATTAATTCACAAATACTTCCACCTCAGCTTTCATGATATTTTTAAATTTTTTTATCTGTTACAGCTTGATTCCACATAGTATTTTGGTACAACTATGGGATTTTCAGCTTGTGATATCGGTGGCCTAAATTTAGCAGGCCGACCATTGATATCGTGTGTGCGTTGGCCGGGGATCTAACCCCGGACCATGTGCATAGTCGGCGAGCGTCCTAACCACTGTGCCACCGACGCACACTTCACATAATGGTACAACCATTGACTGGGTATTGGTTTTTTCAGGAGAACTGAATACATCTATCCCTGCCCCTTGCAAGACGAGACCGGCATGCAGTATCATCTGGTGCCGAGAGTCCTCTCCCTCGGTGGACAAGAAAACCTGGGAGTATTGGACAGTTTGGGACTCTTAACAGCACGCACCCACCAGAGTTCCAACCCAGGACCTTCTGGTTACAAGGCGAGCTAGCTAGTAGACCATTAAGCCACTGGGACCCGAAAAAGGCTGGCAATACCCTACACTTTGTTCTATAGTAGTCCACTATTGTGGACTTCAAGTGGACATAGAGAGGATAGGCGAGATGAAGATACCAAACCAATAAAAAACAACAAGTATCAGTCAACATTGTCGGGGAAAATTTAAAGGAAATCATACCTCTCACTTATCTAGGCAGCCAAGATTAGAAAGGCAGTAAACACCTTCATTAGTCTGAAATAATTGTGGAAACCTACTGCACTAAGCATAAAGAATAGGATTCGGATTTGCAACACTAATTTCAAATCAGTGAGTGCTTCTATACTGGTTCCTAGACTTGGTGTATAACGAAAGAATTTCGAACAGTCATCAGACGTGTATCAACAGCTCCCCGCTTCACTCCATATTGAAGATCAGATGGCCAGAAAAGATTAGCCATCAGAAACTCTGGGGACTATCCAACCTTGCTGTCTAACAAATATGCCAAAGAAAATAGAGATAGATTGGACAAACGCTGAAGCTATGGTTGAGTGACGTCGCGCGCCAGGCCATCGTCCGAGTGGAACTCAAATGGGAAAGAACGAGTTGAGTATCACAGGGTAATAAGAGAGCGGTCGTGTGAGGAAGAGATGATAGCTTATGGGGAATCGTAGAGTCAGCTAAATACGACTTCAGAGGACAGGAGGAAGAAGGGATGCACTGTTGAAGCCCCATGTCCCACTCGAAAGCTAAGAGAATAATAACATAACTGTTTTGGAATGGAATGTTCTAAGTTTAAAAATATGCATGAAGGGTAGTGTCACTAGCAGAAGTACCTTCAATACTTGTAAATATTTTACAAAGATAGTGGAAATAATTGTTCACATCCAATTACATACTACTGTTCGACTGAGACAAGCAGTTGGATACCACTTACATCAGTCAGTAGTGATCCAAACACGCGACGGCTGTTCCTCTCGTGTGGTGCTGAGCTCATCAGCGGTATAACCGGTTTGATCAGCTCACAGAGCCGAATCAGTTCAAACTACTTGATTTCTGGTTAGCTACTTGGTTGAACTGGTGATGCTATAGATTTAGTTCACAATTAGCAATGTACACAGTTCGGGTAGGGGGATATGAGTGGTTTGCAACTACTCATCAAGATCAATCAGTAGTATGTAGTTTTGACAGAACAATATTCAGCGAAGAGACTCTTTTCAACAACGAATTTATTATCAAGCTGTACAGTCGTATATATATAGATGTATATAGATATAGATATATGGTTTTTTTTAAAGCAATTATATACGGTGAGGGAATTACATCAAAGGTGTAAGTACATTAAATAATAATAGTAATATGAAATACAATGAAAATGTTTGTGATTATAATCATAGTTAAATGTCAAGTAGCAAAACAATCAATGTCATATATAGAATAATACATAAGGTGTATAGATGTTGGAAAGGGGTGCATAATTATAGGATGAGTAGGCGAATATAAAATGTTACATAACATGGTATGCAATTTGATATGATAGAATTCCATATTGCAAAAAGAATTTTCGGACTTAGAATGACAACTGGGACAACTGGAAACAATTCAGAGTAAGAATAATAATAATAATAATAATAGTCGTAGTATTAAGGGAAAGGTACATAGAGTCACTAAATAAACGAAATAGATAAATGTCTATCCCTCTACGGCCAAAGCAGAAGTAGGGATTGTACATACTGATTTTGTTCACAAAGGTCTGGCTAAAATTCATGAATTGCCAAGGCCTCCGCTGTCTTTAGAAGTCTATAATAAAGAAAACGTGGCAAGTTAGCATGGATTCGGTAGATGATCTTAAAATCATAGTCAGGGTTGGTAGAGTGATAGGAGTCGATCAGGTGTTCTAGAATAGAGCTTTGCACACACTTCCTTTCTCCCTTGTTAAAGCATGTTGGAATATGTTCTCGTAAAAAGTGTCCTGTGGCTACGGCCAATGCACCTTGCTCCACAAGAGCAAGTGAAATGATAGATGAATGCACATGGAGTAGGCCAGATGAGAGAGTTTATCTTTTACAGAGATGGAGAACAACTTGTGGCTGGTAAACGTCATTTGTAATTTTGCTGCAAAGAATGTCTTACTGACTGCTCTAGAGAGACATTTTGAGCATATCTGAAGCTTGATCAGCTTTGAATTCCAAATTCATGAATAAGGTTTCCTTTGGAATTGAGTCGGTGACCAGTTAAGACTGCTTATATTTCGTGTTAATGTCAATGAATCGGTTCGGATAACCATTTTCTGCTAGCGTGGCTTTTAGGAAGTCAAGTTCTGAGTCAATGCAATCTGAACTACAAATGTTTCTTATCCTAAAGCAGAGTGAATGAATTTGGTTCCTTTTCCTAAAGATAGGCACCCAAGCAAATATGCTCACTTTCTTAATTTCCACTTATGGTATCTAGAAGATCATATATTAAGTGTGATGTGAATAACTTGCTTTCCAAGGGGAACTACGATGATGATATCTCACCACTCGAATGGTGTACATTGCGAATTATAAACTTCAGAGACAACTGTTGTTTCCTCCACAAGATAATCATCACTGAACCAGTTGTTGCCAGAACTATCTACCATGTGAACTAATGTTTTATTTTTATAGTAGGCAGAATTTAGAAATTTCACGTTAGTAGAGAAGATCATATATATCTTATATCGATTGATAGTAGTATAACTTTCATGCTTATAGATCTCATAAGATGCAATTTTACTAACTCTGCTGTTTAGCTTAACTATTGTTTCTTTCAGTCAGCCAGTCAAAAAGTCATCTGACTCTTCGTATAATATGCTTATGTTGCTTAAAGTGTTTACTTCTAATTTCCATTCAAAAATATCACTTATTTTATGTCTTAACCATATTGTAATGATTCCATTGACTTCCTACTTTCATCGTTGTTGAAAAATGCGTCAGATTAAATTAGTTTTCATTCTAACAGATAATACAGTTTCACAGCATGTCTAAAATGTATTTCTAAGCAAGCCATGAAGGTGTAGTGGATGGTTATTCAGATAGATAGATGACTTTTGAAGAATTGATTAGTTTCAATATTATTTTATTATTGTTTCCTTTAGTTCCTAGAGGAACATAGGGCTTCAGGTGCCTGTGTTCATTGCGTTTGGTTCTCTGCCAACGTTTTCATCACCTGGCTTCACGTCTGTCCACATGCTTTCATCTCCTCTTCAAATCACCTCCTCCATGTCACTGTCGCACTGACGACCAACTCATAGCCTCCCATTCGGCTGGGTTCCACTCGAGCGATGACCTGGTGTGTGATGTCACTTCATGGTTGGTTTCTCAGAGTATGGCCAATCCACCTCCATTTCTGCCTACATATTTGTTGGACAGTCGGTTCCTACTGGGTTGGTTCGTTCCCAGAGAACCCTTCCTGTTGTTGATCTTTTCTGGCCGGCCATTTGAGTTTGAGTAGTACTGAGAGAAGGCGACTGTTGATGAAGGTGTGTAGTTTGTTCCAAGTGGCCTTCGTGACGTGGTGACAAGTCTCTAATCCGTATAGCAAGCAGCACTGACTTCACATTGGAGTTTAAAATCCGGACCTTATTTTTCATGCTGAGTGCTGTTGATCTCCGCAAACACTTCAGAATAATGAAGTCTTGCCTTGCTTTCCAGATCCTTACTTTGATATACTCATCAATTCTGTCCGCCTGTAGTTGAAACGATGCTTCTCAGGCCGGTATGTCAAGGAGGTTGCTCCTTTCAGATTTTTCCCACTTATGCTAACTGTTGTCGGTTGTTGTTGCTGTTGCTGTTGGCCAGGAATCTTCCTCACCTCTGTTTTCTCTATGTCAACCTGAAGTCCCATCTTCTCTGGATGCTTCTTCTGCCAACTTGTTGCTTTTCACTTGCACATCTTCCAGTTTGTGGGAAATCAGATATATATCATCGGCGAAGCCCAGATCCTACAAGTTTTTTGTGTGAGTCCATTTTATGCCTGTTTCATGTTTCAATAGGTTTTTTTAAAACAATGATATGAGGTTAATTTTTGTAGTTATACTGTATAAAAACTAGACTTTTGATAGTTTTAACTTTGGTGTTTTTTCTTTTCTATCATTAATAGGTACTTGCTACACAGAAAGAAGATAAACCACCGTCTGATGGTGCCTATATTCATGGATTATTTTTAGATGGATGTCGTTGGGACTATGATAGGTAATCATATTAAATGAATCGGATTTATATATGATAACTACTGACAGTTTTAACCAGACTATGGTGAAGAGTGATTGACATTTCATCTTCAGTGAATGTAATTACACTTTAACACCTCTTCATATTCAGATAACGATGAAGCTGGATAAGTGGCGTTTGCATATTCAGACTCCTTGAGTACTGACGTAAATACTGACTGTCAGTAGACTCTAGTTCTCTAAATTCCAAATGATTCCAGTCAATCTGTTGTTTCGTGAATGGAAACAACCGTAATCTTCAGCGTTAGATTGTTATTCTCTTTAGCTTCTACCACACCTCTGGCTTTATTTGTAAACTGCAGAGTGATCGGAAATCTTCGTTTGTAGGAGCTTGGCTTGTTTCAAATTTGATCACTGATTGATATCAGTTAGAGAAATATTGAAAACCACCAAGGAGTACTGGACAGCTGTCTCCTCTGGTCTATTTTGAAACTCATCGGAAGTACCCACCCATTGGTGGAATTCGAACCCAAGACCGTACGGTTATAATTCAAGCTTATGGACCATACAGATACTGGAACAGAATCAAGTGGCCCATCACTTCTAACTTCTACCGATTCATGACCACCAGGTAATGTTATCAGCGAGTATCTATCCTGACATCCGACCCGGGTGAACCCCACTTACAACAACACTTGGTTACAAAAATAGGAAAAAAAATATTTGGCTGATTTTGTGTTTTGAAACAATGTGAAACTAGAAAGAAATTAAAAAAAACAGAACATATGTTGATGAATATTAAATTTGAAAGAGATAACAAAGTCGAGAGTTTATTGCAAACTGATGAGAATAAAATATGCTGGGACAATTCTTGCACGGTAATACAGTAACTTTGCATAAATATGTATGTATAATTTAAAACAATTAGTTCCCTTTATGAATTTAGATAAAGCAATAACACGACGTAATTTGTCTCAATCGTTCGTAATGTATTTGCGCAACACATTTCGAACAATCTGATCACACACAGACTTGTTGTAGGAATATTAATGAAATTAATAAAGAGTTGAGAGGTGAAAAAATAGACTAAGGTCAAGTTAAAAGGACATATTGAAGGTCAAAATAACAATGAAGACCACTAAACCAAATAACAGAGGTAATAGTACATCTGTTATGGTATCAAAACAAAATTTACCAAGGAAGGTTTAGTGTGATAACGAATTGTTTTTGAACACATGAAGGTGAATTTAATTGGTGGATGGTGACTAGCAGTGGAATCCAGATGACGAGTCCCAGACAAAACGATATGCGCATCATTGTTATTTTGACCTTCAGTATGTCATTTTAACTTGACCTAAGTCTATTTTCTCACCTCGTAACTCTTTATTAATTTCATATATATTTCTATGACATGTCCGTGTGTGATCAGATTGTTCGAAATGTGTTGCGCAAATACATTACACACGATTGAGACAAATTACGTCTTCTTATTGCTTTATCTGTATATGTATAAGTTGACGAAAGACTGAATATCCGATTTAATCATGGAGGAATTAAATTTCTTGATATTTAAAGAAATCGAACTTAAATTTCCCGTTAGAAATATAAATCAGTGTTCTGAATAGGGGGACAGCGCATTGAAACTAGCAAAATATAGCGTTTTAACAAGTAATATATTATAAACAGAATAATTCACTGTCAAAGTATACCTTCATATATTAGAGACTGTTTTATCTTATAGAGAGGAGACCAGTAGTTCAGCCAAGAGTCTCTTTTCGGCGAATTCATTTTCTTAGCTGTACAATTGCAAATATATATGGGTTATTTTCAATGTATGTGTACATTAAGTTTGTCAAACAAAAATACAATTGGTTATGGTTATTTTAACTAAAGGGCGGTGAGAATTAGTAAGTTTTGGGTGGAGTTACGTAATGCGTAAAGTATTCACAGGAATTGGTTGTTGATGGAAGAGGGTAGTGAAAAAAGTGATGAGTTGTCACAGCCGATTGTTAAAGAAGAGTTATATAATAACACGAATAGCTTGATGAAGGAGTTGTGCTGACAGTGAACATTGAAACGATATAAACTACGGAATTACGTAAGAGTTATAAGTAGCTCGAAAAATTAAGCAAACAAGCAAAAGTCAACTCAGATCAACAGAGTTGTTACCATGATAGTAGAAGTGGTTGAATAATTTTCTTCTGTATGCATAGTTCTCGTCCTTCTAACTGAATGACTAGGTCTTCTGCAATACAAAGAAGACGCAAACGTATTGTCTTTGTCAGGTCGTTCTTCACTTTTTAGATTGCTTTGAAGGAGGCGTTTGTTGAGATGAAATGACCAGTGGTGACGAGATATTCGATTATTGAACTCCTTATATGGCCACTACTTCCTTTCTGCAGCCATGCTGTGGGATAGTGTTCTTTGACCCTTTTTGACATGATGAGCGTCAGACGACCGATGTATCTGGCTTGACAGCAACTCCGCCCAAAACATTCTAATTCTCACCTTTTTAGTTAAAATAACCATAACCAATTGTATTTTTGTTTGACAAACTTAGTGTACACATACATACAAAATAACACATATATATTTGCGATTGTACACCTAAGAAAATGAATTCGCCGAGAAGAGACTCTCCACTGAACTACTTGTCTTCTTTCTATTTTATCTAAGATGATAAAATGTAGAGACAGTTGTAGAGTTTCACAGTCACATAGATTTTTAAAGTATTATTACTATTCCTTTGGATTTACAGTGGAACAGCAGGCTTCAACAGCGAATCTCTATTTCATTATGTACTCTGTGGTCTTTTTTTAAGCTGGTTCTACTATTGCCTATTAGGTTTCAATTTCTTCCGATACAATCCCTTCCATGTCACGCTAGGAATTCCAACTGGTCGCTTCCCCACTCGGGTTTGACTCGACTAGTGGTCTGTTGTGTTATTACACTCAAATTTTGAAACCATGACATTTGAGGATTCTTTCCTGATGAAGTCCTCTAAATGAGATATTTTGCCTTCAGAAATAACATAAATTTGTCCGCTGGTTGTATGACTTTAGGTATTAGAAGTGATGCATATGCGGTTATGAACTTGATTTAGGAAATAATTTATGCCTTTTACCAAAGTTTGCGGTGATTGATCGATAAAACAGTATTAATTGTTCTAGGAAATCATAAATTACATTTGGTATGCAACAGGAAACAATTAAAGAGTCAGGTTGAAGTGCGTCATAAAATCTACTGGATATCAGAGAAACGAATAAAAAAAATGAGGTACTGAAATAATAGTGGATGTGTAGAATGTCAGAATCACTCGTGATAAATAAATATGTATAATGAATTTATGCAGCCGTCACTGATATAAAAAAGTATAGGCCAGAAAGTTAGGTTATTATTATTATTATTATTTCCTTTAATTCCTAGAGGAACATAGGGCTTCAACCACACCTCTCCATTGCGTTCGGTTCTCTGCTAGAGTCTTCACCTGGCTCCAAGTCTGTCCACACGTTTTCATCTCCTCTTCACATGACTTCCTCCAAGTCACCCTTGCACTGACGACCAACTCGCCGCTTCCCTTGCGGGTTCCACTCGAGCAATGGCTTGTCTAGTGATATCACTTGATGGTTTCCTCAGAGTATGGCCAATTAACCTATCTCCATTTCTTCCTGCCTATTTGTTTCACAATCGGTTCCTGCTGGGTTGGTTCGCTCATTGCCAGAGATCGCTGTTGCTGATCTTTTCTGGACGACCGTCTGATCTTGAGTATTGAGCGAAGACAACTGTTAATGAAGGTCTGTAGCTTGTTTGAGATGCTCTTTATGACACGCCAAGTCTCTGATTTGTATAGTAGCACTGACTGACTTCACATTGGAGTTGAAAATCCGGATCTTATTTTTGATGCTGAGTGCTGTTGACTTCCACACAGACTTGAGAGTAATGAAAGCTTGTCTTGCTTTTCCGATTCTTGCTATGATATCTGTGTAGCCAATTACGATTGTTAATAATCTTAGATTATGTGATAAAGTATTATGCAAACAAATTGATGCTGTGACGATGGGGTCACCACCGGGACCAGTTCTAGCTGATATTCGCCTTACAAAACTGTAGAATAGGCTTTTGAGAGATGTATATGATGAACCAGAATTCTTGATGATATTAGGCGGTTGGAGGCTGTCGTTAATATAAAAAAGTACAGGTCAGAAAGTTAGGTTATCGTGTAGTTAATTATAGTTGTTAACAATCTCAGATTTTTGTTGTAGGTCATCATCACGAAGCCTTAAAACTAGCTTTCTTACTTGTTGTGACTCATCAGTCAGCAAGGTGTGTCTTAAATCCTGATAGAATTCATGTTCCATCTGCGATTCGAACCTATGGATACTTTTATTGGACACTTAGTAGTAAGTGACTAGTGTCCAATCAAAGTATCCAATACACTCAATTTTATAGGAAGTCAATCACGAGCCCAAATAGGACTGGGTGACATAGATCAAATCTCAGAGGGGACATGAGTTCCTTGAAGATTGCCAGTACACCTTAATGACTGGTGACTGCCAACAAGTGCGAAATCCAGCCAGGTACAAGTCATCCTGCTGATTTCCACTAACCATCTAGTGACAACAATTCGGATTGAGCTGTGATGGTGAACCACACCTACATGGCGGTAACATTGCAATCTTGACTGATGGTATTCAGTCTGTACCGAAACAAAAGACTATGTGCATGGCACTAGTACAGTCATAGGGTCTCTTAGACTATGTAAAATAAAATAAGCCATTCACAACGATTGAGTTAGACCTATTCTCAGTTATTAAGTATTCCGGAATTTTCATCATGAGCTGACATTAGTTAGAGAACCATTGGAAAACCTGGGAGTACTGGAAAGCCAGCTGTTTCGTCCTAGTTTGGGACTCTTCATCAGAACGCACCCACCGGGATTCGAACCCAGGACCTTCTGGTTACAAGGTGAGCTCGTATACCATCAAGCCACTGGGACCCGGTCCAATGGCCCATGAATTCTAACTTCTGCCAATTCATGACATAGCGTGACCCCTAGCCAATGTCTTCGGCGAGTATTCGTCCTCACACCGGACCTGCTGCACCCAGTGGCTTAATGGTATACGAGCTCGCCTTTAACCAGAAGGTCCTGAGTTCGAATCCCGGTGGGTGTGTTCTGATGAAGAGCCCCAAACTAGGACGAAACAGCTGGCTTTCCAGTACTCCCAGGTTTTCCAATGGTTCTCTAACTAATGTCAGCTCATGATGTAACCACTCAAATCCCTACAAACCAACACTTGAATATTAAGTATTAATTTGTAATTATTAAAATGAAATTAGGATATATTTCGTCATAAATAGACGCTGGAACCAATCACGTTGGATGTGAAGGCGTTGATGGAGTGTGATGATCCAAAGTCTAAATATTTGCTGGAGTGAGTTTTCTTCCTGAATATAGATACACTAAAATCTCCGTCTTCCCTCCTCTTAACTAGCCAGGCAGTATAGAAATGGTAGTTCACCGACGTCTGATTCCGCTTACGAAGTAAACTGCATTCTGAGGGATAGACCGTTTATTTTCTCCAAGAATGAATTGTGTAAATCTCGCTTTAACACTTCAAAAGTATCATCTACATATCTTAACATATTTTAGGCGTGGGTATTCTTGAAAAGATGTTATCTTCGAATCTATTCATGAAAAGGTCAGCGACTATTTGGGGAGACTGGTTAACCCATAGCAACACAATTTGTCTGTCTATATCTATAAGTTGTTTCAAGTCTCCTTAGACGAGCACACTCTCTGATAACGGATGAGAAAGAAAAAGAAGATGAAATATCAAACATTACTGAAAGTCTCAAGAAAAACAACTACCCAACGAACTTCATCAATAAAATCAACAAAGACATTAAGTATGGTCGAAAACGTATTCCGAAAACGTGAACCTCAACAGTTGTCATTCCATATAGAGCGGAGACGTTGGAAGATATTAGATGGGTAACCAATAAGCTCGTCATCAGAGTTTTCTTCAAAAGCATCAGACACACTGTGAAACAACCTTGTCCATATAAAAGACCGAATCCCTAAAGATTCTCTATCTAGTTGTGTTTATAAAATAAAATGGCTGCTTGGGATGTGATGCGATATACATCGGACAAACAGCGCTGTAGAGAAATCAAGGTAGACAAAAGATATGAACACCGTAGAGCAGAGCATCTGTTCGACCACCGAGAAAAATCATCAGCTAAAAGTGGTCTACACGCTATAGAATCAGACCACAAAATTGATTTTGACAATATTGAAATCATCATCCAGAAAAAGCATTTCAGAAATCACAAATAACGTCCAATATCAGAAGCATATCACATCGAATGGAATCCAAATTGCCTGAATAGTCTGAATGATGGATGAAAACAGAATTCGACCTGGTTACAACAACCCCTACCATCTCCAATGAAATGTCACAATCAACACGAATGTGATAAGCAATTTCATTATTCAAACACACACTACATTTATAATTTTACACACTTATCAAATCCAATAATCTACACCTGGTTTTGTTATCTTTACCAATTGGCCAACTTGACAAGACGAAAATGACCCCATGCTGACGAACGATGATTAAGTTGTTATGTGATATAAGCTGAGTGGATTTTGTAAATTCTGGTTTAATAATACTACTTTGATAAATCTATTAGCAGCAGCATTAAATAGCGAAGCGTCAGTAAAAAAACGACAATATCGTTTTGTTTTTCATTCATTGGGAAATACAAGAAAACCTAAAGAGGATAATTTGTTGTTTCCAGTTTTTGCCGATATTTCCTTTTTGTCTAAAATGGTGTCTTAACCTTTTCAGATATCAGCTAATATCTTCGCTTTTTATATTTCAGTATGGAACTTGGTGAACAATTTCCAAAGATATTATATGAACCAATGCCGGTTATTTGGTTGAAACCAATCCTACGTGAACAACTTGATGAATTATCCATCAAAGTTATTCGTTATAATTGTCCAGTTTACAAGACAAGTGAACGTCGTGGTACACTTTCAACAACTGGACATTCAACTAACTTTGTCCTGCCTATATTATTGCCGACAAGTGTTGATCCAAGTCATTGGATCAAGCGTGGTGCTGCTCTACTTTGCCAGTTAGATGACTAAATTTCTACATCGACAGAAATATATGTAGAAATATATACATAGTATAAAAGTAACAAAAACGACACAGATATATATATACACGAATATGTAACATGTTATACGCAATCAAAGACTGATGAGAAATTCTTTCATTTTAAATAAATATATGATAAAGTAAAGAACAATTGTCTTCTCTTAACTTGACTTTACTATATCAAGTGAATTTCATAATAACTTATATAAGAATATTTCCGCTAATGGTTCAGGGACAGAATGCCCACCTACCATACATCTGATCCAGGGTTCGACTCCCAGGTGGCGCACTCCCAAACCTTTTTTAGTAGGTAGCAAGCTAGGAGAGGAAGGGAGGTTGGGGCGTTGGAGCCCCATGTTCCACTCGGAAAGCAAATGGAATGAGAGAGTGCGTAAAATTATAATGTTGTCATTGGTTAATAATTGACCTGCAGAAACATTATTAAGCCTATTGGCACCTTGTAAGGTGACACAAGTGTAAGCATCAGAATACCTATCTTGCAGTATTTCATTTATTGATAAATTGTCCTAATATGTTCTGCTCCTATGCAGGTCGACAAGTTTATCTTCGCTTAACCATGGCCATATATATCTATTTGGCTTGGAACAGGGGTAACCACGACAATATGTAGTGCAATCCTATCTCATTTTGGTGAACACTGAGCACCATTTACAGTCATATATTGAGTACAAAACGATTTCCCTATAGATACTGTACAATGCTACTTAGCCACTTAGGCTGAAGATATAGAAATCACTAAGAACAAACCTAAACTATTCGTCTAAAAAAGGGTATTCAATACACATGTCTGGTATCACCTACCATAAAGTCGCTATAAACCTTATCATCTGATATTTTCTTGTCTTATTATGTTCCTCTGCACTTTAACGATCTCATCCTTTCCCTTTTTGCCCCTTTTTCAACTAAATTACATCATACTATTATTGTTAATACATGTCATCCTTTGAATTTACACTAATTTATCCCACATCTTCATTGCCTAATAAATGATCAGTAATATTATCACGGTGTTTATACCATGACGTTATTGATATTTTAAAGTTATTGTTTTTTGGGCTGGAGGATTTTCCATCATGAGCTGACATCAGTTAGAGAACCATTGAAAAACCTTAGGGGAGTACTAGGCAGCTGTTTCACACCTCCTAGTTTGGCACTCGTCAGCAGTACGCACTCCCCGCCAAAGGTTTGAACCCACGACCTTCTGGTTATAAGGCCAACGAGCTCGTAGACCATTAAGCCACACTGTGGGACCTGACCCGATGGCCAATCAGCCCATAAATTCTAACTTCTGCCAGTTCACTCAACACATAGCGTGACCACTTCGAAATGTCTTTTTCGATGAGTAACGGTCCCTACCTTCAACCTGCTGTACACTGGTGGTCACGACTTCTCACCAGAACCCCAGGAAACTGCCTGACTCGGGCCAGTCACTAGTGAGCATCAGACTAATTTTCAAGTATTATTGGTTTTTCAGGATTTTGTTTGATTGGATAGGGAATTTCACCATGAGCTAACTGGGTTCCGACTGTGTTGGCGGGTGCGTTTTGATGAAGAGTTCCAAACAAGGACGTAGGAAATAGCTGTTCAGTACTCCCAGCTGGTTTTCCAATGGTTTTTAAATGGTTCTCTAACTGATATCAGCTCATGATGAAGTCCTACAACCAATCAAACAAAATCCTTACAAAAGCCATACTTGAAAGTTATTGTTTTTATGTTTTTATCCCCACGAATTTGTATTCATTAGGCCTCTCGAAAGCTATTCTTCCGTTGATAATGAATGCGAATTAACTTAAGTGTCACTCAACTACTTAATCTCATTTCATCGCATGTTCCTGTTGACCAAGCATTTTTTTGTAGGCATTTAGCTGAAAATTAGAAAAAGAATTTCAGAACACCAGTTCCTTTTTTTCTAGTTTTAGAACAAAAAAAACAAAGAAAAAATATTAACAGGATCATTCGAACTGGTTTTATTTTCAACTGTTCACATCATTAAACACTATCAAAATATAAGTTATAAAAGCTTTTCTGGACAAACTTTTGTTTCATTGGCGTCGAGTTATAGGTACGTAGAAGGTAGAAGCAACATAATTTCAAAAATGATGTAAGTAGACAAATTATTCACTTTTAAAAGAGAGTAACTACATACAGAATATGAACAAAGAAAGAAGAGACATTGGCGCAGAATAATCTGAATCCATTTTATTTCGTCGGTTCTCGTCAGCTGTGTACAACCTGAATTCTTTAATACAATACAGAAGTGTACAATTTTAACAAACCTTTGTCCATTAGCAAGCATGTTGTCAGAGCGTCATAGTGAAGTAAGGCGTTGGGATTTACAAGGTGTCCAAAGTGTTACGACATATATATATCTTGTTAGAGAGAAGTTTCTTGAAAAAAATGAATTGACAGTTGTGTTGTTGGGGTGGTAACAAAAGAAAATTAGTAATAGTTACGCAATTAGAGAAGATCAAAATTTTCAAATTTCGGTGCACATGAGGTCAGATGAGAAGTTGATAATGTAATACAGTGAGCAGAACTCAGAAGATCAAGAAAATTATCTCTTAAGAGAGTCAAGCGAAAAATAAAGGGGGGAGTGAAAATATAAGTAGACAAAATTATAAAACGAAGAGTTACTAAGAGGTGAGTCACCAGGGTAACTGAAGTCCAACAACGGAATGTTTTTGGACAGGCTTCAATCCTTTTATTGCTATAGCTTCAGCATACCTGAGAAGACTTGAGGTACTTTGTCTGTGGATTATTTTGAATGATTCCAACACATCTACTCGGTGTCCTGTGTCAATCAAGTGTTTGGCGATTGAAGAGCTTAAACAATCCGGTCCTTTTAACCGGAGGCTCCTTAGTACATTTTCGCAGAATCTGACGTAGGCCCTCCTCTCTGTTCCTCCAATGTAACTGCTCCCGCAGATACATGCGGTTGGAGGTAACATGTGAAGGGTACTTGTCAATCTTTGACTGCACCAGTGAGGAGGTTGTTCGGGGTAGAGAGACTAATAATGCTGCAGGATACGTCCTTGACAGGGCTGTGCTTAATCTTTTATTTACCATTCTCATGATGTCGTCACTCTTGTAGTCGAGCTTGATGAAAATAAGCTTCTTACTGGCTGTCGCTGTATCTAGCTTTTTGAGTTCATTCTTGCCATATTTGTTAATGAAACTTTGTGAGTAACCATTTTCTTTCAACCATTTTTTCAAGAAGCCTTAGTTCACTATCTAGTTTGTTTGGTGAATCATTGTATGACATATAGGATAATTAGACAAGATGGATAGAGTTCAGATTTCACTTGGAGATTTGCATTGACTAGGGGTATAATACAAGATGAAAACATAGAGTGAATTTACACATATTAAGTTTGGAAACTTAATAGCGAGTTCAACTCAGGAAGTGGAAATAGAAAATGAAAATCAAATTGAGTGTTACGCAACAGAAGTTCGATTATTATTCTATCTATTATGCGTATGACAATACAGTTTATTTCTTTCTTTAAGTTTCTAGTGAAACACAAGACATAGAACCTGAGCTATTAAGTTACAATATGCTGATTTCATAGAGTGGGGTAGCTAGCCTCACGTCCAACCTGTAAGGGAGTTTCTAGCGAGCTCAGCAACAGAACAAATATTAGAATAAAAAGAAATCCAAGTTAATGAAATGATAGTGTAACAGTATATTATAAAAAATACAGTGATGAGTTAGATAAATTAATTGGTTACTTGGTTGTACAGTTAAAGTCCACTGCTATAAATTATTAATATAATCCACAATAGTGTTCACTGCAGGAGTTGTGTCTACTGGTAGAAGCCGTGCACCGGTCGTAGAATAGTCTTGGGATAAGGATGAGAGTTTCCTGCAAAATCCAAAGTACACAACATGGTTTGTAGTGAAGCAAGTAGACAGTACAGACCAGTGAGAAGATGAAGCGCCTAGCAGCAGACTGTATGTTAGACTGAACTCCACAATTAGCTATATTTCGAAATGAATCGCTTTAAACGAAAGTAGCGTACAATGTTTCCATTTTCAACATCTAACAAAAAGATAATGTACAATCTTATTGTTACAGATTCCATAAACCTTCCTTCTTTTCTGAACCTACTAGCGGCTAGACGAGATTTCGGGGTGCGTGGGTCTGGAATCGGACCCAGACCATCTGCGTGGTTGGCAAGGATTCTACTCACGGAACCAGTGACGCACACTACACCAGAACACTGTTACAGTATTGCTATTTACAGGAATTTAAGTGAATTGGTTTATTCGAATGTTTTGTCACCAAAGCGATCGAGCTGTTTGGTACGCATTAATTTCTTAATAATATGTGTACGCATAGATGTAGAGTCTAAGATGTGAGCTAAGGGAAATGACATTTCTCGTCTTTTATTAAGCCCTTCTTGATCATCCTAGAAATTTATGGACCATTGTATGCAAGGTATGTAAGGTAGTTCCAACACACAGCATTATCGAAAGGTGAAACGCATACTCTACTACAAACCTCAAGCCTGTACAAATTGTTACGTCATGTTACAGTCAGTATGCTGATATGCATATGTATACAGACACGAATACGGAGGTGGGGATAGGAAAACATATTATTTGAATAATGGTTACTGGTTACTATCGAAACTGACTCATTGTGGACGGTGTGCAGGAAACCTATCTCTGTGTCCTACTGTATAACTGACAAAGCTCCTTTAAGACACAAAGATTCATGAAATGCTTCAAAGACAGAAAGAAGACGATTATTCTTGAATAATTCTACCAACAAGTTGGGGTCAAAACTCTGTCAGCAAGAATCACACACCAACAATTTCCTCAGACAGTACAAGGTCAGATTGATGCTAACTCACTCAAACAAAATCACATCATAAAACAACACATTACTAATGTTCTGCACAACCAGAAAGAGAAGCATTCGAATTAGAGATTAATCTTGGCAAAAGACAAATGATAAGGATCAAATCAACATGTGATATGTGTATATCAAAATAATGATATACACTGTGAATTGTTGGTATGGGATGGTTGGAGGTAGTCGGCCACAGGAAGCCTTAACTGACCTAGCTTTCGTGCA